ACCCTGTCCATTGTCCCCAGAGGCAGGGAGCAGGCCCACCCCTGTGGAGGGATGAGACAGCAGTCTGGCAACTGATTGCCCTCAGTGGGGGAATGCCTGTGCATATGACCTCCCCCCACAGTTTTGTTCTAGAATTTTTCTCTCATTTTATCTGTGACCATCTATTAATGAATTACTGAGATGTAAATTCTAGTATGCTAATTATTATATCATTAACAACATAGACTCAAATATCCTTTCTTTGCTTTTTAGAGCAACTATAATTTACTGCATTTATTCCTATTACGAGGATAACCCAATACTTAAAAATTCAAACATATCCCTCCGGCTATTCCTGTTAGCAACCAATATCATTCTAGCCTCATCTATGGAGCCATGTCAGTTACTTAGTGAAAACAGGGCTTCTCTTGACAGAGCTTGCCTTTGCTCTGGTCCCAACTTAACTCATAATTTGTGTCCCCTGTTCCCAGCACAGTTCCCCATTGCACAACCCGAGGTAGAGATTCCATTTAGAATTAGACCTACTGTCAACCTTTTGATATTCTGCTTTTAAGTCATGTAAAGCATTGTGCAAATCAGAAAATCTTTCCCTAAAAAATGCATAGGCAGGTGATGGGGGTGGGTTTGGGGGTGGGGAAGGGAGGGAAAAAAGAGGAGCTGAAACCAAAGGCTCAAATAGAAAGTAAATGTTTAGAAAATAATGATGGCAACATATGTACAAATATGCTTGGTATAATTGATGTATGGATTGTTATAAGAGCTGGAAGAACCCCCAATAAAATGATCTTTGATCAGGTATCAGACATCTAAGACCCAGAACAAAATCATACCCAAGGTGAATGTGGTGGGGGGAGGCATGGAGTGGAGACCCAATGCCCATCTGTAGACAAGTGGACGTCCCCTCACAGAGGGGTCACCGGGAAGAGATGAGCCAGTCAGGGTGCAGTATAGCATCAGTGAAACACACAACTTTCCTGTAGCTCTTTGGTGCTTTCTTTACCCCATTATCATGACCTCAGTTCTACCTTACAAATCGGATTAGACCAGAGCATGCACACTGCTACAGATAAGAGCCTGCAACACAGGGAATCCAGGATAGATAAACCCCTCACAGCCAACAAGGAGAGTAGAGATACCAGGGTGGGGGTAAAAAGGGGGAAAAGATCACAAGGATCAATCTAGAACCCCCTCCCAGGGGGACGAATAACAGAAAAGCGGGTGAGGGGCGACAGGGGACAATGTAAGATATGGAAATAATAATCTATAACTTATCAAGGGTTCATGAAGAAGGGTGGGCTAGGGAGGGAGGGGAAAGAAATGGGGAGCTGAGATCAGGGGCTCAAGTGGGAAGAGAATGTTTTGAAAATGATGATGGTGGCATATGTGTAAATGTGCTTGACACACTGGATGCAGGTATGGATTGTGATAAGAGATGTAAGAGCCCCTAATAAAAGTATTTTAAAAATATGATCTTTTAATTTTAAAAAAGTCTGTCCCTAGAAACCGATTGCAATGATTGACCTATAACACATACACATCCCCACCACCACCAGTGACAAACAACAGAAACATGGGTGAAGGGAGACAGCAGGTAATGTAAGATATGAAAATAATAATTTATAATTTATCAAGGGTTCATGAGAGTGTGAGGGTGGGGGAGGGAAGAAAAATGAGGAACTGATACCAAGGGTCTTAAGTAGAAAGAAAATGTTTTGAAAAGGATGATGGCAACATATGCACAAATATGCTTGACACGTGGATGTATGGATTGTTATAAAAGCTGTAAGAGCCCCCAATAAAATGATTTATTAAAATAAAAAAAATGCATAGGTAGAAGTCAGGAAGGAAAATCTGGACAAACCATTTTAAGAAAAAGAGAATTCAATTCAATCTTTAAGATATGTTACTTTGAAAGTGTCTTATTCTGTCAATCACAAATGTTTTAAATTTAATCATTGCATTATTTGGACCAAAGAGAAGGGATGAAATAGATTTTTTCTTTTTGTGTTTATAAGGAATATATATATTAAATTTTAATCACTTTATTGTGAGCTCTTACAGATATCATAACATCCCATCTTTCAATTACATCAAGCAGTATTGTACGATGGCTACCGCCATCAGTTTCAAAACATTTTCTTTCTTCCTTAAACTCCTTGATATCAGTTCCCCTTTATCCCCTCCCTTCCCACCCTACCCCTCAGGAACCCTTTAAAACAATTTTTTTTATTTTTATACTTTGGCCATATCTTACACAATCCAATATATCCATTGACATACAATTCTGTAGTTCGATTCCATTGAGTGGGGTTATACAGCATCAGTGCTCTCAGCAACCTTCCCCCAGGAGTATACTTTTTAAATGCTTTCAAGGCCACAGCCCATTTGACCAAAGAGCAATCGGTACTGTAAGTCATGGACTTTCATTAAGAATAAGGTGTGAGTATTGGCTCATTAATTGTCACAACATACCATAGGCTTAGTACTAGGAGAGAAGTAGGGGGTGAGTGGGGAGAGAGGTATATAAGGACTCTGTTTTCATTTTTGTGCAATCTTCCTAGAAGCCTCAAACTATTTGAAAAAATGAAGGTTTGTTTTTTTCAATGCTTTGCAGAATAGCCACAAGGGGTTCACCAGCCAAGTGTTGTTTCACGAGGACTGAGGGAGTTTCTCCACCTAATATGTTTGAGTTGGCAGATATTTCGAACCCTTCCTATTGAAGAAGTGCCGTTTTGGGCGGACGTGGTCCTGGGATTCCGAGAGATGACTGAGGCTGAGCTGAAGAAATTCCCGCAGCACGTGTTTGGCCAGGCTTTCACCACCCTGAAATGTGAAGGCCCCACCTACCTCCCCTGGATGGAGAAAAGGTCAGTGGAAAGGGCTCTTGGCCGCTTCCTTCTATCTGTCCTGACCACATGGCACTGGGCAGCTGGTCCTAAGATACACACTGAGAAGTCGCCGTGGTTCTTCAGAGCGCTTTGGCAGTGACTTTCTGTTCACAGATGGCTGTTGGTAAGTGCTGTCAAGTGGATGTCAACTCATTGCAGCTCCGTGTGACAGCATAGAACTGTGCCGTAGGAGAGTCCCCAGGCTGCTGTCTTTATGGAGAAGCCCTGGTGATGTCATGCTTATGAATCAACAGTAACAGTCTTGGGAACCCACCAGGGATCACTATGAGTCAGCATTGACCAGTGGCAGTGAGTGTGTTTATTTTGGTCTTCCAAATGGAGGATGACCACCACCCGGGTCTTTCTCCTGTGGAGCTGCTGGCTGGGTTGGAACTGCCAACATTTCTGGTAACAGCCACGTGTTTATCGGTTGGGCCACCAGGGCTGCTTTCCCAGTATCAAGCAATCTCAGCGCAGTCCTTGTATGGCAGCCAATGAGCCACACCACGCTCTTGCTCACAGTTCTAACTTCTAGGAGCACCGGGAGGTCTCCGGTGATGCTTGGTAAAGTAGTGGAGCCTTGGAAAAGAGGAAGACCTTTGACAAGATAGCAGTGACTGCCTCGATGGGCCCAAACATAAGACCAGTTGCGAGGATGGCACAGGACCTGCAGTGCTTTGCTCCCTTGTACAGAGGGTCACTATGAGTTGGAATCAACTCGATGGCACCTAACAGCAACAACTAACCCAAAGGCTTTAGGTTCACACCCACCTAGTTGCATCATGGGGAAAAGGCCTGACGAGCTGTTTCTGCCAAGATTACATTTCAGAAAATCCCCATGGCATAGTTCTGTAACACATCGGGGCATCATGAAGTAGCATCAACTCGACTGCAGCGGGTGTGGTTTGGGTACCACTTGCTGTGTGCTTTTTCCCTCCCGGTGTGGTTAGTTGTTGCTGAGTTGGCACGGACTCAAGGTGAGCCCGCAGGCAGCAGAACAGCATGCAGGCTGCGCCTGTACCATCTTGCTGACCACTGCCCAGCCCGAATCCATCGCTCTCTTCCAATCTTGGGGCTCATCTTCCAACACTACATGGGCAATATTTCATTGTGACGCACAGGGTTTTCCTTGGCTAAGTTCTGGGACTAGATCACCAAGCCCTTCTTGCAAGCGTCTCTTAACCTGGGATCTCTGCTGAAACCTGTCCACCATGGGTGACCCTGATGGTCTTTGACATTCTGGCGGCATAACCTCTAGCCTCAGAGCAGCGCTCAAGCCACCACAGTTGGGCACACGGACAGATAGCAAGTTCAGCCAAACATTCTTAATTTGCATTTTGACCTGTTTTTCACAACTCCGTTTTCAGTTAGTTAAGCAACTGGGGTGGGGGTGGGGGGGGAATCCAAAACAAACAAAACAAAACCAGACTCCCTGCCAGTAAGTCAATTCTGACTTAGATTGACCCCCTATGGTTTCTGGGACTATTTGCAGGAGTAGAAAGCCCAATCTTTTTGCCATTTAGCTGCTGGTCATTTCGAACTGACAATGCGATCTCAGCCCAACACATAACCACTACACCGCCAGGGCTCCTCAAGAAACTGGTGAAAGCATGTCAAAAGATTTCTTATTAGGCTGAAAATTGCAGGGTGTTGAGAGTTGTATGATGCTGGCTTTTTCGGTCCCTAAATCTGTAGCTTTCATAGATGAGCAGAAACCATGTAAATTATTCTTTAAACACTGGGAAAATGACTTTGAAGTAAGCATTGGCAATAATGATCTAATCCCAATATTTAAATGTAGAAATAAAGCAATTGACTCATATATTCCATGAATTCCACAATCTTTGTAGAGTACCAACTATACGCCTGATTCCTGGGATTGGCAGGCAATATGGCAGACCATTGACTCAAGTTCAAAGAATCAGACTTAGTTGATGAGCCAAATGCAGGATCCAGAACCCAGCAAAATGCAAGCAAGCTTTTCGACAGCATCCTTTTATAGGAAGTAGGTTACATCTTTGAGGAAACTTCCTTTCAACTGCACTCGGGCTGTGACCTGAGTTGCTTTCCACCCTAATCTTACAGCTGCCTGGCTGCTCACAGCAGATTCCATCATGGACTTGACTACATTGTGTTGGGTCACACTGCAGAGGATTAGTAGGCCTTACCTGCCAGACCACTGAGAATTCTGTCTCAGCCAAGTTGACATAAAATCAAACCATCTCACTAGTCTTAAGGAATTCATTGTCTGCCAGGGTGGTTTTTTCCAGATGGGTAGCGTTTACTCGATCGTTTTCTTCCTCTCTTCACACACACACATCACACATACCACATCTTTCTTCAGAGTGGTGTCAGTTGCAGGCATGACACCCCTTGGTTTCTACATGCGCCCATGCATGTTCCTCGAAGACAAGGACATTCTCTCACACAAGCACAATGTCGTTGATACTGCGAGGCATCATCATGTCCATTTTTTACTATGATTTTGAACATCATTGCCCCCCAAGTGACAGTCTTACTGCCTCATAGAATTGTGTAAGGTGTAATCTTTATGGAGGCCGACATTCAGATCTTTCTCTCACAAAGCTTCGAGGTGATTGGGAAATCAACCCTTGGGTTAGCAGCAGAGTGCGATGATAAAATCAAGATATTTATACTGGTATGGTACTTTATTCTATGGATCTTATTCATATATTACCAATTAATTGTTCCAATAATGCCCTCTAGAGCAAATACACACAAACATAACAAAACAAACTCACTGCCATTGAATCAACTGTCGATTCACAGTGACGCTATAGGACAGGGTCAACCTGCCGCTGTGTGTTTCTGAGACTGGAACTCTTTATAGGAGTAGAAAGCCCCATCTTTCTACTGGACTGGTGGTCTTGAACTGCTGACCTTGTGGTTAGCAGCCCAACATATAAGCCTATACTACTAGGGCTGTTTAAAGGAGGCTTCAAAATGTTCATGGGATAATGGAATTAAAAGACAATGGAATTCTTCCAAGAGCTTTTATGAACCCTCCTCATATCTATATCCCTATCCCTATCCTTATAGGTGACCCAATCCCTGAGGACACATTCCACTTAGTTGTCATGTCTTTTTCATCTCCGGTCTGTCCTAGTCTTACAGGGTCATTGCAACTTCAAAGAGTACAGAGGAGGCTCAGGGAGTGAGTTGGGAATATCGGTGTCCTGCATACCCAGAACATATAGTAGAGGTGAAGGGAGAGGGTCTTAACTGGGTGCATCTCTCAGCCTCACATACAAGAATAAGCCCCAAGGTATTGTTCCTGGGGTCCTGGTTCACACACACACAGGTTTACCCCAAACAGAACATGCGTAAGCTTGTCTCTGTGGCCAGTGGATGGTTGTAAATAAGGTCTATGAAGGTTTCTGTGATTCTGTAGCAATATTTTTGGACTTACCCTTGTATTCCTTGTCCCCTGGGAAGGACATCCTGGAAGAGGCCAGCACAGAGTCCCCTGGGGTGTCCAGTAGAATAGCTCCTATTAGCCAGGGCAAGTTTTGAATCCTATCAATAATCTGGAGCCCACAGGTAGTCACAGAGAGGTGTGAAGCATTCCTGTCACTCATTATTGAAGCAGCGTATGCAAGTAAAGTTGAAAGAGATTTAAATGGTAATTCTTCCTAGGAGATGGTCCCTATTGCTTTCGTTTTAAGGGACAAATAATTGATAATGCTTTTGTGAGATGGGTCATCTTTGATGAGTCAGAGAGAGAACAGAAAGTCCCAAGATACCGACGAGGTGGCAGAGAAGACGGTATCACTGTGTGGGTTGGGGTGGGGTTGGGGGTAGTGGAGGTGGGCAGAGACAAGAAAGCCAACCTCAACCCTAGTCACTTCTTCTGGGGACCTTCACAAGTCTCTCAGTTAGCCTGGGGCTACCCTGAGTGGTGGGCAGGGGTGCTTAGATGGGGGTAGGGGAGACCACCCTGGAGGGCAGGGTGAACACCAGTCCCCAGCCTCCACTCTGCACCTGTGTGACCACTGTCCATTCATATATCTGTTCTCCTGCTCTGGCTCCCATGTCCCATGTCCCATGTTCAGGGAGAACCCTTGACCCTTTTCACACAATACCAAGTCTCACCTGAATGATTTCGTCCTCCCGGTTCTGAAGCATCACCTTCTTTAGACCATAGGTTGTATGTTTTCAAAATACATTATTATCAGGCCTGATCTCTAATTGTGGGATGAAGGTCTTGCGAAAAACTTCACTGGTTGGGAGCCTGACCTGGAAGTTGTCAGCAGTTTACTCCACTTAAAACAACCTGGACTACTCAGACCCCGCGGGGACCACCTTCTGACTGTAAGGCCATAGGCCCTGATGGCTGGCTAGCTGGGGTCAGTGCCTTGGAACCAGCTGCTTCCGGTGTGTCTGTCTTACAGGCATCAGAGAAGAGGCCTGGGGAGATGTGTCCCCAGAGTTCAGGGGAGGCCTTTTGCTATCCCGTCTGCCAAGGTGGCAGGCTCAGGGAGAAGGACACACAATCTACAAGGGGCAAGCTTGTCTCTGTACAACGGCCACCTGCCGGCCTTGCTCTTTCCCCACCCCCACTGTGTTCCTGATTGCTCCATACCTCCTGGGCCTCCTGAAGTCAGCTCCCCCAGATCATCCGTGAAGATTGGCTGTTTCCTTCTCCCCCCCCCACCCCAAGGGCCCTAGGTGGTCTGGAGGTTGGGCATGTGACCTCACAGTGGGGGACCCTGGAGGGAAAAGCCCTGTAATCTTCTTCTGATTCCAGCTAAGGATTGCCACTAATGTGAAACAAAATGTGTATACCTTCCAGAATGGAAACCAAATGTGGTCTTCAAATTTTCACCCAAATCACAATAGGAAAAAAAAGTTTTTTCAAGATTACAGCGGTGTTTAATGACAGAATCTATAATGCCTTTAAGATCCTTAGAAGACTTTCACTGGGTTCTTAACGCAGGATTTTACAGTCATATCCATGA